TGTCTTTGGTGCCACTCCTTTTTAAAACACCTCTGTTTTCAACCAGAAACCACAGAAATTGTGGGGGTGAGATGATTAGCACGAACATGTCAAGATGAACTAGCAATATTGGCATTACTTTTTTGTTTTTACATGTTCCTGTATGTGTGATGCTTATTTTTCAAAAATTATAGTACTTCGATTACACATACTATATCTAAATAGTATAAAATTCAGTGTCGGAACTACAGTATGTATATTTGACAATACCATGGTGTCAGATTGTAATACTATTGCACAGAAATTGAATGTGCCATCATAATACAAGGTACTTTCAAGAATGCAATGGTACTACCATGGAACATGTATAATGCAATCTAATAATTGGCATTAACTATACATTAAACAACTATGGTATGTATGTTGGAACAGGGTTGAAGCTAAACTCTACAGGGCTGTGGCCCTCCAGGAATTGAGTTCCCTTTCGATACTTCACTTCGTACTGTGTCACTAGACGCTACGGTGAAACGCCTTTTCTCCCATTTACTGAAGCCTTTTTTTTTTTTCAATCACAGCAGTGCAATCACAGCAGTGCATCCCACAGCTCGCCGCTCGCAGCTCGCCACTCTCAAGCAGCACTGATCAACGCGCCGCCTTGCAGCACTGGATCAGATCGCCGCTTCAAGCAGCTCTGTTCCCGCGTCGCTCTCAAAGGCAGCCCCGGTCAGCGCTTCGCTCACGAGCCGTCTGCAGAGCACCTGTGTTGACGCTTTCCTGCTTGAGGTAACAAAGAGCAAATTTCTGAGCAAATTTCCTGCGACGTTGTTGCTCGGGCGCGCTGCTTCGCCATAGGCTCGCGCAGCTCTGCTGCACCATCATTGGTTCATTTCTGAAACAATGGCGGTGCAGATGCACTGCTGTGATTGAAAAAAAAAGGCTTCAGTAAATCGGAGAAAAGGAGTTTCCCGTAGCGACGCAGTACTCGTTCCCATATCTCAGGGAACCGAGGTTACGTTATTAACCGAGTACGTTTTGCACCCCTGCTTTAGTTATTTTGTATTTATCCTCTCTTGTTAGAGAGTAACAAAACCTGATATATAAAGATATTTCTTTTTCTGGTCCAGAAAGCTTATATCAATCCATTTTGATAAAATATTATCTTTATATTGGTGCAGTTTTTTTGTGTGTGTCCCTGGCGGCCTGACAAAGTTCAATGTTTCGCCATGTAACAGGAAGTTGCTGTAACTCAGACAAACAATGTCCGATCTGCCCCAAACTTCACACGTTTAATAACAGTTGTGTCCTGAACACATGTCCATGCCCATATTCAGTTATAGTCATAGTGCCACCTGCTGGCAACAGGAAGTGTCATGTTTAACACTGTTATGGACACCTAGCAACATATTAAAAACGTCAGCAAGTGTTAAATAGGATAGCAACATGCTAGAAACATGCTAAAACATGCTAGGAACACTTAGCTAATTTGCTAAAGCATGCTGTTAATACAATGAAACAGGAAGTTGCTGTAACTCAGGCATACAATGTCCAAATTTGCCCCAAACTTAACATGCTGGCCTGAACACATCTACATGCCAATATTCAGTTATAGTCATAGCGCCACCTACTGTCAAAAGGAAGTGACATGTTTAGCACTGTGATGCACTATTAGCAACACACTAAAATAAGCCATTGAGTGCTAAACATGCTAGAAACATGCTAGCAACACTTACTAAGTGCTAAAGCATGCTAGTAGTACGATGAAAGGGAAGTTGTTGTAACCCTGATAGCACACGTACTTCGCGGAGACGTCTATTTGATGTCTGCATTTAGGGTAGACTGAGTACAGTAGAGGTACTTTCTGCTTTTTTCATCACTACACAAAAACTAGATGCCGAAATGAAGTGATTTTTCACATGATATTTCTTTTGCTTATGTACTAAAATATCATAAACTAATAATAGCCATAAGTAGTTTATATTTTCCACAATTAGCTCATAAACATACGGTGCATTCCATATAGGGTACAGTTGAAACAGTACCATGGTACAGTTGAGACACCCATTCTTAATGCTCTAAAGCTGGCTAATCATTTATTGCAAATGTACTAAATTACAATTGAGCAAATCTTCTATTCAGATTTATTTATTCGCTTTATTTAATTCAGATTCAGTTCAACAAAATAGGAACAAAATATTTAACACTAGAAAAGATATGGCAAACAGTACAAATGTAAATATAACAGTAAAAATAACAATGGAAATTAGCATGGAAAACAACAAAAACAGAATCAAAAATAAAGTCCACTCACTGACTACATTGCCTAACACACACACACACACATACACTTGCATTTGTGGTTTACGGGGACTCTCCATAGGCGTAATGGTTTGTATACTTTACAAACTGTATTTTCTATCACCCTACACCTAAACCTACCCCTTACAGAAAACTACTGGCAATTTTTGAATTTCATAAAACACCGTTTTGTATGTTTTTTAAGCCTGTTGTTTTACGGGGACACAGGAAGGGTCCTCATAAACCATGTTTATGTTGTAGTACCAGTTTGCTCATCTGCAATACGTCTATAGGACGTTTCATTTTAGATGTCAAATAGACATCTATTAGATGTCTTTAAGATGTTTATGATTTAGAATGTATGTAAATCTGACATCTTATAGACGTCTGTCAGATGTTTGTACACAGCAGATGCTTTCCAGATCAAAAGATCTTTAACAGACATCTTGCAGATGTACGTGTGCTATCTGGGAACTCATGCATACAATGTCCGATCTGCCCCAAACTTCACATATTTGATAACAGTCCTGGCCTGAACACATCTTAAGGCCAATATTCAGTTGTAATCATAGCGCCAACTGCTGGCAACAGGAAATGACTTGTTTTACACTAACTTAATCATTCAATGTCCGATCTGCCCCAAACTTCACATGTTTGGTAAGAGTCCTGGCCTGAAGCCATCTAAAGGCAATATACAGTTATAATCTGTTGGCAACAATCCTGTTGGCAACAGGATACGTCATGCTTTGCACTAACTCAAACATATCATGTTCAGTCTGCACCAAACTTCATGAGTTTGATAAAAGTGCTGGCCTGAAGACATCTAAAGGCGAATATTCAGTTATAATCATAGCGCCACCTGTTGGCAACAGGATATGTCATGTTTTAATCTAACTCAAACATACTGTGTTCAATCTGCACCAAACTTCATATGTTTGATAAAACTCAGGAAATCAGAAAAAAAACAGGAAATGTAATTTTTTACACTAAATAAACATGAAATGTCCAGTCTGCCCTAAATTTCTTGTTTGATTAGATTAAATTACTACTCTTAAGGTACTAATATGTACGTGTACTGCTATGGTGTCAAGCTGTTGTACAATTTTAGCCCCTTTTTTTCTGTGTGGCCTGGATGAGTGTGAGATTTCCCGGCCTTAAATTGCATCCCAGTCCGGCCCTGCTTTGTAGGACTATACATTATTTGGATAATTAGTCCAAAAAAAACAACAACAACAACTTATATCTGATTCTGTTACATAGAAGTGAATAAAAATATTATATTGATATTTAATATTAAGGTAACACTTTACAGTAAGGTTCCATTAGTTAATGTTAGTTAATGTATTAACTAACATGAACGAACAATGAACAATACATTTATTACAGTATTTATTAATCTTTTTTAATGTTAGTTAATGATAATACAGTTGTTCGCTGTTAATTCATATTAATTCAGAGTGCATTAATTGTTAACAAGCACAAATGTTGATTTTAATAATGCATTAGTAAATGTTGAAATTAACATTAACTAAGATTAATAAATGCTGAAGAACTATTGTTCATTCTTAGTTCATGTTAACTAAAGTTGTTAACAAATGTTATTGTCTGATTGTCTGATTATTTGTGAAATTTAAGGAATTATGAGTTTGAAATGGGCATGAGATATCAATGTATGTGGTATAGTGCTGATAGACCAAGAAACGGACCAGTAAAATACTAATTCAAGCATCCTCTGTTTTTAAAAGTATCTCAAAAACTTGTAAAAGAACGAAATCATGTCACAAAACATTTGCAAGTTTGTTTCACACATTAATTTTCCAACTGAATGCAAAAAAAGTGGTGTAAAGTTGAGTATACATGACAAATATGCAGAAAACTGTGGCATACAAAACCACAATAATCACACCATTAGCTCTAGTGCACTCTAGCTCTAGTGCAGAAGTTCCAGGAAGTTCACCAACTTTCCAGCTAAAGCGAACACTCAAGGGCTTTTTACACTTGAAATAGTTAAGGGTGTAGTCCACATTAAAATAAAAGTTCTGTCATCATTTACTCACTCTCAAACCTGCATGAATGTCTTTCTTCTGTTGAACATAGAAGATATTTTGAATATGGGTAACCAAACACCTTATGGTCTCCACTGACTTGAAAAAAATACTATGGAAATCAATGGGGACCATCAACTCTTTGGTTGCACATATTCTTCAAAATAATTGTAATGTTTGTGTTCAAAAGAAGAAAGAAATTTATACAGATTTGGAATAACTTGAGGGTGAGTAAATGACAGTATTTTCATTTAGCGTGAACTATGTCTTTCAGCCTGGGTCATTCTAAACACGGGTAAACGGAATCCTGAGTTAATTTGGTACAGATGGTACATTCCTAAATCCTGGGTTAACATTCTTCTTTGCATATTTGCAGGGTCGGTGTCATTGATTGCTCTTGCATTGCACATCCTCATATATTGCTGACTATAAAGTTTTATTTTCCTGAATGGACTTTTCTGACTATAAAGGTAAGAATGAAATGGACTCACAAAGCTGAAACACGTAAAACATTCCATTACCCGGGGTTAGAAATTGGGTTTAGAATGACATGAATGAAGTGCAGTGTGAAAAGCCCTTTAGAAACAAACAAACAAACAAAAAAAGCCTTGCACATTTCTTCAATTTATCAAAGAAAACAGAATTCTTCAACTTTAAAAAGTTTAAGAATTAACTCCACGCCTATTTCTTGCAAACTCCAATATTAATACAGATGGTTTCAGTGTCTTCAGTAGTTGAAAGTTCTTCGACCAGAGTGTCCTTGTACTTGTTCACAAACTTCCTACACAGTGACTTTAGGAAGCCAATCTCATCACAGACCATCTCCAGCTTCTTTTTAATATCGTCCTGCAGAAAAGTGACCAGAAGAATTAACATTAAGCCATTAGTCTCACATGAATTTTAGTAAAAGCGTATGAAACTGTACTGTTACCAACCGGAGTTGCTCCATTGGAGATCTGTTTTTTCAGCTTCTTCATCGACCACTTGCAAGCCCAGCACATTCCTGGTTGTTGTTTTGTTTGTGTCTCACCCTAAAAAGGCAACAGATACAATAGAGTCAATAGTTTACATACAGTATGACAATTAGAATCTAGCAGTTCAAATCGGACATTTGCATCTTGCAAACACTCTTTCAGTATATGGCAAAGTTCTGACCTCTTATCGTGATTGATGCATCCGCCAGTGTGATTAATCATATATTAATCATATATGTGTTTTTTTTGGCCAATTAATAGTTGTAAATTCGTCCATCATCATGTAAACAGATCACATAGTTCACAACAGTTTGTGAATTTTGATAAAAGGTGTAAAATAATCTTTCAGATATAATAGTTAATTTTGTGTACATTATTTGCTTACATCAAAGTTTACACGTTCATGTAAAGCTTAGAAACAAATGATTGAAAAATAATAGAAATTAATGCAATCTTTAAAAAGACACATCAATGAACTTAAGCCGGTCCAAATCGGTCTATGCTGTTAGGCACTCAAAATATAGACAAATTGATTGATAAAGATGGCTAACTGATCTGTGCTAATTTTACCTGAGGATATCAGCAGGGTGATCAGGATGATACTCTGCAGCATCTTGTTTGGCAAAAGAATCTGAATGAACACAAAAAGACTGGAAACACTCTGCTTGATGAGGGTCTTTGGTGCCGGCCTTTTTAAAATACTGGTTTTAACCGGAAACCACAGTCGAAGAGAGACAGTAGAATTCTCAACATGTGAAGATGTACAGTCACTCCTGGCATTACTTTTTTTGTATGTGTGATACTCAGGGTGCCATTGGTGAAAAAAATCAGAGGGTGGGTGTTTTTGATTGTTTAGTTTCTTTTAAAAATAAATCACATTTCTTAATTTCTAGAATGCAAAATCAATAGTTATTGATATTTACAAATAGAATAAAGAGACACATACCTATACACATTCAGTCAAATCATTTTTCATAACGGGTAGGGTTGGGATTCCGCCTATCGAGTCCTATGCGCTTTTTTTCTTCATCTGTGAGGACCGGACCTAGCGATCTGGCAGGGCTTTGCTCGCTAATCTAAGCGCTCCAAAGTTTGGCTACATTTGCGATCAGAAGCCTACAAAGCTAAGTATAATATAATAGCTAAACATGTTGCAAGAGAGTCACCACCAACATGACAAAGCACTTTAATTTAATAGATGGTTAAAGATCGTGAACACGATTCAAACACCAACGTGTTTCTATTCCTAAATTACAATGATTTGTCTGTTTCATTCCTCAACCTTTGACGTGTGCGATCACAATGTTGTGATCACTTGGTTCGTCCATGGAACGTACGATCACACCAGTGTGATTTGAACATTTAAATTTGTGTTTGCGCTAGAGACCTGCACTCCCGCGGGACCCAACACAACAGGGTGCGGCGCGGGACAATTCTTGATGGGCGAGTGCGGGTGCGGGCGGGAAGCGGGAGAATAAAATGATTTGCACGACTCCTGCAAAATAGAAATTATCTAAACATAATTTCATGTTTTAAACATTTTATTTATGTGTTGCACAAAAGCAAAAAGAACAACTAGTAACATTAAAATTATTAACATGTGCAAGTTAGACAGAGTTTCTATTTATAACACGTGTTTAAAAGGTTGCGCAATGTAGCCAATCACAGACTCAGCTGTTGATTTCTGGAACAAAATGGCCAATCAGAGGTGATTAACGGTGCGTTCCAAACGGGATATATCGCCCTCTGAAGGGCACTTCGGAGTGAAAACAATCATGGCCGCCATATTGAAGGGTCATTCCAAACCAAAGTGCTCAAAACTGGCCACTTCAAAGGGCCCTTCGGAATGAAGGATTTCGAAGGGTACAACTGATGGACACTTCGGGCTCCCATGATCCTTTACGCAGATTCTTTGCATGATGACGGCGCCTCCGTGTGGGCACGTGATGATGACGCAGAAGGGCACTTCAAGAAACAGTTGTTTGGTCCCCTACACCCTTCCACCCTTCGAAGCTCTCACTCCGGAGGGTAAACCCTTTGAAGGGATTAGGGCATAGGGATGAGCCCTTCCGAATGGAACGCATGGTTAGTTCGAATCCACTCACTGCAGTGCTGAAATTGCATGTTCACGAATCGTCTCATTTTAACACACGAAGTGTAGACATTGTGAAAGATTCATTGTGCATATGTTCATTGTGTTATAACAGAGCTTTATGAGATCGCGATGAACTGAGATGTCAGCTTTTAGTGATAACAAAGGAAGCACTGCTCGCATTCTGCCATGCCAAACCATGCACGCAGCAGACCATGCTTGCTTTTCTGTTAAAAATAACAGTAGTTTGTGAATGTTGATGCTTAGCCTAAATAACGAATATTTTATCGGGAGCATTTATGCTGGGATGTTGTGGATCTTAGGAGATGTTACAGAACCATTTAATGTAAATTTCTTTGATGTGCTGAAAAAAAATCTATATAGATTACTTTTATGCGGGCTTTTGCGGGTGGGAGCGGGACAAAGCATGAATGTCGCGGGCGGGAGCGGGCCCAGATAAGATATTTTTCTGCGGGAGCTAGCGGGCACGGGACAGAATCTTGCGGGAGCGAGACTGAAAAATCCGTCCTGCTTAGGTCTCTAGTTCGCGCTGCCATTGACCTAAAGAGCAGCTGCGGTCATGAATGAAACAGCTTCAGTCTTTTCAACCACACAGTATCATTATTTCTATTACAAACATTCAAATCACAGAAGTACTGGGATAAAAGTTTATAGTTCAGATATAAACTCTGATGTGTACGGTAGCGATTAAAATAGAGTAAATCACCTTTTGAAAGTAATTTGACACTTCCAATGAAGATTTGTCGATTACATTGTTACGCCAGTAGGTGGCGAAAAGGGGCTGTTAAAATGTATTTGTCTTTGAATCATAAAAGAGATTCGTTCAAGAATGCTGATTCATCCAGTAATGAAACAAGTACATCTTGAGTGAGTCATTGAATCATTTATTCATAAATTACATGTGATTTTGTTTAGTTGTCTAATGTTTTTTCTTCAGAATCATGAGAGAACCACAACTTCCATTGGGGAAAAGAGTAAATCACCTTTTGAAAGTAATTTGACACTTAAAATGAAGATTTATCGATTACATTGTTACGCCAGTAGGTGGCAAAAAGGGGCTGTTAAAGGGAAAAAATAATAACGACTTTATTCAACAATTCGTCTCCTCCGCATCACCCTAGCGCCATTTTGGAGAGTATCCACTGAATGTAAACGGCATATGCTGTTCTGTGTCAGCTGTGCCACGCGTTTACGTCGCTTACGCTTTGATTTGAAGGAAAACAACGTATCCGTGTGGCGCAACTGACACAAAACAGCATACGCAATTTACATTCAGTGGATACTCTCTAAAATGGCGCAAGGGTGACGCGGAGGATTTTCATTTTTGGGTGAACTATCCCTTTAAAATGTATTTGTCTTTGAATCATGCAAAAGATTCGTTCAAGAATGCTGATGATGTAATGAAACAAGTATATCTTGAGTGAGTCATTGAATCATTCATTCATAAATTACATGTGATTTTGTTTAGTTGTCTAATGTTTTTTCTTCAGAATCATGAGAGAACCACAACTTCCATTGGGAAAAAAAAGCAAAAAAAAAAACTACATTTATCCAGAATCATGCAGTTCTATTTTGCACACAAACAGCTCTTAAAGAGTCCAGTTTTTATGTAGCCTGTTGATTTTTGTTCATGGTATTCAGCTGCAACTAAATGGTTTGCAAAAAAGAGACACAGGATACATGTTTCATATAGGGGTGTAACGTTTCACTCGTTTTATTGATACATCGATTACAAACCCTGACGATGCATATGCATTGATCTTGAAACATGATTTTTGAATCGTGAATCGCCGATTTCGGACAGTAATCGATTTAAAACGCTAAGAATCGAATGAATCGCGCTCCACTAACCGCCTGTGACTGTCACAGGATTGCGCTCGCGCTCTTCGCGAATTTAATTGTGAATCGAATCGAATCGAATCGTTCTAAATTTGCAAAAATCGTTCTTGAATCGAATCGAAAACCTATGAATCGTGAATCGAATCGAATCGCTGTCTACCCAAAGATTCACAGCCCTACAAACTAAGCAACCGAAAGCAATATATGTCTTCCTCAGATGTAATGTTAGTTCTGTACTTCAGCGTTGGGTAAAATAGCATTATAATCTACTTTGTGGTAGAGAAAGCTGCTTACAATGTAGGCTACGGGAAACAGCGAATATGTTGAATTAAACATACGCAATTAAACATACACACAATCAGCTTTTCCACATGTTTTATACTGGCCCCGATAATCCAAACTTCTACTTAAGTCATTCATTCAGTTTTTGTGAATGAATGACTTAATCCACCTGTTGCTTTGGTCTTCATCAACAGCCGCTTGCGCCACCTGCTGGTGAGCGACTGACAGCAGCTGGAGATCATGCATCGGTGCTCTACTGCTATTCCCGCAGCTCCCGGATGTGCAATGGCGAATTTTCTGCCGAATTTTAACCACTGAATTTGTGGAAGCGAATTTGGAAAGTGAAATAAAATGGACCGAAATTTGCCTGTCGAATATTATACATCGTATTTTTAAACAGATTGAATATTTTGGAAGTGAATGATGAATGAATGAATGATGATGCATTTATATAGCGCTTTTATTGTGTATTGTTGTACACCCAAAGTGCTTTACAATCATGTGGGGGGGTCTCTCCTCAACCACCACCAGTGTGCAGCATCCACTTGGATGATGCGACGGCAGCCACAGGACAACGGCGCCAGTGCGCTCACCACACACCAGCTACAGGTGGAGAGGAGAGAGAGTCATAGAGCCAATCAAGTGGATGTGAAGTGGAAGTGAATTCTGGAAGGTGAATATGAATTATTGAATTTTTAATTATGAAAATGTGTGTGAAATATTTTGAATTGAAATATCCACAGCTTAAATAAACAACTATGTTAAATTTCAGGACCTAAAAATGCAAGGCCTGGAAATAAAAGGCATTAAAATGCAAGCACTGTTAATGCAAAGCATTTTTTTCAGTTAGTGCTATTGAACATGCTTTTTTGTTTCAAAGACATATGGCATTATTTTTCTTCCATACAAAAGGAACCAATGAGTTTCTATGGAAACTACAAGGAGTGGGCGTGGTCCAATGAGTGTCTATGGCAACTAATGAGGGTAGTTATGGAGACAAACAAGGCATGCAGCAGACAGGGGCAAAACACACAAGGAACATGTGACATTAAGCAACAATGCTGAAAAAAAATGTATCATTCATATTTATAAAATATTTTTTTACTGTTATCACATTAACAACCATTTAGTAACATTAGTTAGTTGTGTGTTTGTCAATTAAAATAACCCACACATAACAATCATTTTATATATACAGTAGAGGATTCACACTACACTAGCTATGTTTCCATCCAAAGATGCGAATTTAACTTATGCACAAAACTGGAATATCGCATAAAACATTTGCGAATAAAGCACCGTTTCCATCCAACGAGTCAAGGAGAACAAAATCGTCACTTCCTGATAAACTGGCACTAAATAACTCTTAAGAAAACTAGGAGAAGCCACTGAATATAATAATTTTCATATGTAATAAATTACTTGCGCTTCAGAGAGAGCAGACGTAACACAATAAATGCGGTCATTGCTTTTAGAGGTGGATGCCTGCTGTTTGGGAACGCAGTCATGTAAGACAGTAATGATACAGAAACACTTTGATGACAGACTTTCCTCAGGCATTTTAGAACGACCAAAACAACATATAGATGCTGTAAACGACATCGGTCCGCTGGTTTGTCAAGTTATCCCGTCTCAACGCAAAGTCACATGACTTTTTCAATGCGCAAGGTGGTATTTATTCGGTAAATGTGTTTCCATCGTAGTTTATGCGCATATTTTCTTATCGGATAAAAAGTTTATCCTACTCAGTTTTTTATGCGCATTTTTAGAATTTATGCGCATCTTGGCGTTTCCATTCAGCGTTTTTTTATGCAATAATCCAAAATGCGCGTAAAAATAGGTGGATGGTAACATAGCTACTGGTTTCTTTGTAGAGGTGTCAGTTTCATTTTCTGTAGAGCCACCCCAGGCAGGCACCGGACGTCTATGTAACGTCAGGTTGACGTTGGACATGACGTCAGACAGACGTTGCATTTTGGTTGAAAATGAAAATCGGGTAATTTGACGTTGACTTAACATTGGATTTTGGTTACACAACCTAAAAACAACAAAATATCAACGTCAGCTGACGTCGGAATTGGACATCAATTTAACATTGACATTAGACGTTAAATTTACATTGAATTTTGGTCACCCGACGTCGCAACCAAAATTTTACCAAATATAAACGTCTTATGACGTTGTGTGCCTGCTGGGACAGCTCTAAAGAGTTCAGATTCAACCTTAAATGCACCTGATCCAGCTAATCAAGTCCTTCAGGCTTATTTGAAAACTACAGACTTTTCAGTAATGAATTTCACTAACGTTGATATAAGTGTTCATTTCACTAGTATTTGCAAGAAGCTTTTCAATAATTATGGCCCCTCATACTGTATGTTTTTCATGGACTGAAAAGAACCAACTCATTAGAATCCTTCGTTCTGTAATTGGTATTTTAGTATGAAATTCAGTAAAATTCACATAATAGAACCATTAAAAGAACCAAACATCATTGGGTTTAGTTGTTTTGTGTTTATGTTTTCTAACCATCATCATCTGCTTGTTAGAGAGAGTAACAAAACCTCACCTCACGGGTCAAAATTACGGTGACGCATTGCTGCCACACACATATTTTTTCCACTCAATTATGTCGTAATATAACGAGATATGTCGTTTTAACGACATATTTTCTCGTTAAAACGACATTTTATCGTAATAACGACATATTACGTCATAAAAACGATACGTTTTCCTGTTATTATAGATAGGCTATATGGTACATTATGTGAGCGAGCTAAGCGACTGTCCGCGCTGCTGTCGCCACAGTCTGACATAAATGAGGATCTGCACGCTGCTGAAATGATTGAAATACACTGTTTTAAATGTATTTTAATGTAATGGTTTTAATTGTAGCGACATGTTTATTAGGATTAATCTCCAATCTTGTCTACAATATAGTGCTATCCAATAACTGCACTCAGACCCATGACTCGTTTAGGCTATGATCAGATCAAAACTTTATTCAAGATTATTTTTGAATAATCGACTCTGGGCTTAATATTTCTTTATTTGAATGACTGAAGTTTGATTTAACAACAAATCGAAATACGAAAAAAAAGAAATAAAGAGATTTTCTAATAGGCTAATAATAATAATAATAATATGTCATTATACGATATGTCAGACTGTGGCGACAGCAGCGCGGACAGTCGCTTAGCTCGCTCACATAATGTACCATATAGCCTATCTATAATAACGGGAAAACATATAGTTTTTATGACATATGTCGTTATTACGAGAAAACATGTTGTTTTAACGATAAAAGATGTCGTTTTAATGAGATAATTATATCGTTTTTACGAGAAAAGATGTCGTTTTAACGAGAAAACATCTCGTTATTACGACATAATTGAGTGGAAAAAAAATACATGTGTGGCAGCAATGCGTCACCGTACAAAATAACCCAAAGCATAAAAGTTACACATTTCTTTTTTGGTCCGGAAAGCGAATATATATACACTGAACAAAATTATAAACGCAACAATTTTGTTTTTGCCCCCATTTTTCATGAGCTGAACTCAAAGATCTAAGACTTTTTCTATGTTCACAAAAGGCCTATTTCTCTCAAATATTGTTCACAAATCTGTCTAAATCTGTGTTAGTGAGCACTTCTCCTTTGCCGAGATAATCCATCAACCTCACAGGTGTGGCATATCAAGATGCTGATTAGACAGCATGATTATTGCACAGGTGTGCCTTAGGCTGGCCACAATAAAAGGCCACTCTAAAACGTGCAGTTTTACTGTATTGGGGGGTACAGGTCTGTTATCAGGTTCTTGCACACAACTGGATGACTTATTTGGCTCAGTAATGGGTAAACTCTCTGTACTCTTAACAGGTTCAGGAACATGCTCGGGTTCTGGACTGTTTTGATCATTGTTAGAACACTCTGAAGCAGTCATCTCATCAGGGATGTCTAAAACACCATCACAATTGGTATCCTGCATTTCATTCCTTTCATGTGTTCCAAACTTAGTTTTTAAGACGGAGCAATCATTTATGCGACTTACCAGCAGGGAGATACATGTGCGCAATGACTGATGCAACAGCCAGTGGGAGTTTTCCCAATTTATGCATGAATTTAACTATTTTAACTCCGTTACATCTATATCTCCCTGCTGCTAAGACTTCTCATCCACCTGATCTCCATCTAAATTACTCCAACACACACACAGTCACATTGGTGCCGTGACCTGTTGTTTCTTCAATCAAGATGGTTCCTGTAAGTCACGTGCACTTTAGAGAAAATGTCAGCAGCAGAGTCTCTATTTCTCCCTGCTGCTAAGACTTCTCATGCAACATCGATGCAATATATTCTAACCAGCCTTTTGGTCGTGTTTGTCCCAGGTATGTGTTTTGTTCGGTTTTGTCATGATCTGTGTTAAAATAATATCAGCTATAGTTGAATGTTAGCTATTAGCACACGTGTTGTATGCTCTCGCACGTGCTGAAGTGTGTAGCGGCGCCATTTTAGGGCTGCATTATTTCCGTTCTGTCTTTTATACAAAATATGTAAAATTCTGACATACGTATGTGTGTGTATGTATGTAGCCTATGTGTGTGTGTGTATGTGTGTGTGTGTGTGCAGTTTTTTTTATTTTATTTTATTTTTATTTTTTTCCTTTGGTGATTTTTATTTTATTTACCTCAAATTTCTGTGTTTTATTATGAAAAATAAGCATATTTCTTTACATTATTTCACACACACAAAAAAGACATCATTGTGATCCTATTTTACTGTTAACATCAAAATACTATAGGCTATCATTCACTGAGTCATTGAGTGTCTCTGATGCCCCCCTTGTGGAAAAAATGATGTTAACGTGCATTTTATGGTTACTGCCACTAGAGGGTGTAGGGGGAGGCTGCATGAACACAAGCCACCGGCCCAGATATGTGTAAGATTTTACATGGTTGCTCATAAGAATATAGTAATTATTAAACTTTGTGGTTTTGAAGGATTGTTCTTTTATGCCGGTTTTACGGAGGGTGATTTTACCCCAATATCATAAGGCAAAGATAATGCAAATGTGAAATGGATTGTCATAACACTTTTATATGCATCCCTATAGGTACAGAAGCCACTCTTAAGAGAGATCCTCCTTCTAGTCTCCCTGTATAGTAATCAAAGCCTGGTTTTGGAGATGACCAGCACAGAGACATCTTTAGGTCCACAGCTAAGAGACGATTGCCACGTTCCTATGGCATATAACGATATACGACAGTATGCCCTCCATACCGTGCTGAACACTCCATTCAATTTCCCTCAGGTGAGCTTTTCTATTTTCTTCATTAAAAGGTTGCTATAAAGTTGTTGTACTTTATTGCTGGTCATTGAGTTCTACCAATAAGATCTGAATACTAATCCTGTAACATTTCAATTTCTGTTAGCTTGACATTCCTGCAATCAGGGAGTGGTTGTGAGCAGTTTGAGACACGTGTACTAGTTTCTGAACATCTCAGTTTGTTGTTTCAATCTTGAAGTCCCTTCCTTGCCAATGGATATAACTGACCAAACTGAGGCAACACAGCACAGATGAAAAATGCAATAAATCATCAGCATAGTCATAAGGCATCAATCAATCATGCCTTGTCATTGTTTTCATAATCACCTCAGTAAAATTCCCACATGGCAATACTCACATTTCTATTCTTGATAACCTACATTCAAACAATTCACCTGTGCCGGTATACATTGATGCAATCCACTCTCACCTGACTTCAGTTCTGGACAGCACACCCACAGTGACGTGATCAAGTTCATCATGGATGTACTTTTTCCAGAGGTAGTTCTCATGTGTTAGCTGTGCTCTGCATGATGTCAGATTCACATTGTTTTAAATGTCAAATAGTTTATCCATAATGTGAGACCATTGCTCTAAAAATAATTGTTTTTGTGGTTATTATAGAAGAGACACTTTTCATTTTGTTGGAAAAAAGCTAAATATGTGAAATGATACTTGGCTACTTGGGGTTTGTGATCAATCTCAATTCTTTCTCTGGTAGTCCATTATCTGTGCCCTGGCTTTTGTGGAAAATCTGTCCATCCTAAAGGCTGAGGAGAAATTTCTGCGAGGACCTGTCATTTACATAAAGTACTGTAAGGATACTATCAAGGAAAACATGGTCAAACATGACATCCTGCCATTATTCACAAATATACATTTTTAATTCACTAATTAAATGTGTAATGTTAATGTTTTTTTTTTTTTTCAAAAACACTAATTCAGTTGTCACCTGTAGGCTATGTATGTAGACCAACAGTGAATATTTACAGAAATTTTAATTCGTAGTGCAGATCATCTGATATCTTAATGTAATGTTTATATTTAAATTCACACACACACACACACACACACACACAAACCTCTCAATTAGTCAATGTCTATGGACAGGCCGGTTATTAATGAAGTTTTCGAGCGTCGGTTTAATTATTTCGCCGTTACGCCACAACAGGGGCGTAAAACTGCCTGCTCCAGGTCTGACTCTGCAGCCTTCCTGTATAGGCTAGAGGGGCCTATCTCAATCTTCAAGGTGTTTTCTATTCCTCCACTGATTTTAAGGTTTAATCAAGTGTCTTGTCAGCTCGGATACATAAATTGTCATTTTGTTGTGTATTTTGCTTTTGTATCCTGCCAGTGTATTGATTGGTAAAAATTTGAGCTGATAATGGAAAGGTTGTAGGTTCAAACCACAAAAACAGTGATGAACTCAACTCAGGATGTTTAAACTCAAAGGAGATTTGAGGGTACTTTCCCTGGAATAGGTTTACTGACAATTCAGACCTGAACTATTGCTTTCTTGGCATCTGATCAAAATTGGGAGAAATTACTAGTACAAATATGTAATTCAGTTTTTGACAAGTAACCAATTTTATTGCTGTGAAAGGGGAAAGTGTTTGTGTATATATTGCAGCATTATATTATGGAGCAGATTTTAAATTCACTCAGAATGATGAAAAACACTCTTTACCCGGTCTCATTTTTATTTAGCCTATACATAGCTGCATGTAATCACATCATAATCTTGCAGTAGCAGCATCTTGCAGTATCTCACAGGAAAAGCTGTTTGAGAAGCTCATCAGCTCAACATTTGAAATGAAGTATGTGTCATCAGCCATCTAAACAAACTGATAACGATCGCTGTTGTTGTGAATGTGACTTACTGTGTCCTGTAATGTTTGAAGTTCCTCTCGTTCTTTATGGCAGGCTGTCAGGTGTCAGCCAGTTATAAAATTGTCTATTAATGGCCAAATGCTTTAAAACATTTGTCTGTAATAAATACTGTCTACGTGTCTACTGTCTTCTTTTTTTTTTTTGTAATCATTTGTATGGACACGTATATTTGTTTACTTGTGACTCAAACCAATTTTCAGTCTTTCTGCAAATTGTTTTTATTGCTGATTATTTGCAAAATGTAAGAAATTATGAGTTTAAAATGGGCATGAGATAGTGTGTGTGGTAGGCTATGGTGCTGATGGACCAAGAAAATAAAATACAAATTCAAGCATCCTCTGTAAAAGTATAATGTCACACAACATTAAAGTTAGTTTCACACATTTATTTTCCAAATGAATGCAGAACAAAGTTGCAAAGTTGAGCGTACATGACAAATATGCAAAAAACAACAACTTTTTTTCAGCTAAAGCAAGGGCTTTTCACACTTGAAATAGTTAAAGGGATAGTTCACCCAAAAATGAAAATACTGTCATCATTTACTCAACCTGTATGAGTTTCTTTTGTTCTGCTAAACATAAAAGAAGATATCTGGAACATGGGTAACCAAACACCATACAGGTTTGAACAACTTGAGGGTGACTAAATGATGACAGTATTTTAATTTTTGGCTGAAATATCCCTTTAAGCCTGGGCCATTCTAAACCGCAAACGGAATTTACGTGGGGTTAACAATGGGTGTTCACATGGTAAATTCCTAAACGCTGGGTTAATGTTCTTATTTGCATATTTGAGGTGTCAGTGTCATTGATTGGATGAATGCAGCGCAGGACCTATTTACATAGCCTAACGGCTCTAGCATTGCGCGTCAAATATATTGCTCACTATCCACCTTATTTTTCAACGCGCAAGTAAGCCGTTTTCTGTGAATGTGTGAGACTTCCGGTTCATTAGCCGCTATAGGGAAATAACGAGAAGAATAACAATGTGCAGTAAACGGTCAAACTGTTTGCACTACAAACAAACCAGTGTGTTAATTTGTAATTAAGATAATACATTAAAATAACATGGTAAGGCACACCAGTTTGCAATATCTAGCAGCAAAACAAGCTGTTTTGTACAGCTAAAAATAGACACCGGTGACCGGAAGCCAGACACATTAAATTTACAAATGGCCGCGACCGCTCTTATGGGAAAAATAAGGTGGATACATAAAGTTTTTTTTTTTTTTTTCCTGAATGGACTTTTCAGACTATAAAGGTAAGAATGAAACTTTCTTTTCTTCACTCCACTCTATATTTAAGTCATTATTTGACATTTTCCCCTTCAGAAAGCTGAAACTACTGTTTCTACAAGGAGCGGTGTTTCCGTGACTGCCCAAAGCTGTGGCTAAGCGCCTAATCGTAACATTTACTGCATCGTTTCACAATGTAGACGTTTGGCACCTCAGTGAGGTTAACACCGAAAAAGCGGTGCTAGTCCTGCTCCAGAGCAGGGTTTAATTACCCCAGATAAAAACTGCGCTAAACCTGCTTCTAAATTACAAGTGTGAAACATTCCTTTACCCAGGGTTAAAAACTCGGTTTAGAACGACAGTGACCTGAGGTTAAGGTCAATAATGTGGAAAGCCCTTCAGAAACAAAAAAGCTTCATGCAATTTATCAAATATGATTCTTAAACTTTTATAATGTCATTAACTCCATGCCTATTTCTTGCAAACAGTAATGTTAACACAGATGGTTCTGGCATCATCAGTAGTTGAAAGTTCTTCGACCAGAGTGTCTGTGTACTTGTTCACAAACTTCCTACACAGTGACTTTAGGAAGCCAATCTCATCACAGACCATCCCCA